TCCTTGGAGAGGGACATCATGCTTGGGAGGGTGGAGGGACAGCGCAGGAGGGGAAGACCCTCTATGAGATGGATTGATTTGGTGACTGGGGTAATCGGGATGGGTGTTTCAGAGGCGGTGCGGTTGGTGCAGGATAGAGCAGGGTTTAGGGCAGTTGTGCATAGGGTCGCTATGAGTCGGAAACGACTCGACGGCACAGAACTACAACAACCACAACCAGCATAATACAGTAACATTTTCTTTTTCAAATGTTTGGATAATTTTTCAGGTGAGAATGAACTCATGTTGACCAGTCTATTTTTCAGCACTTCATTCATGTGGCCTAATTTACAGCTGGCAACACCTGAGATTTTAAGGGCAGGATCTTTCTTATCTCTGATTTTGACCACTAGGTCTGATATCTAGACAGAGGTAAATGTGGTACGTCTCAGGATGAGGGCGTAGAAAAATGGGAATTAGATGGATTCTACTTAATTCACAGTTGTAACTTACAGAATAGTTGCTCTTTTTGTTCCTGCTCTTCCATGATAAGAATTTTCTGGTTTATTTTTTGTTATATAAATGACTTGAACTTGAATCCTTATTTCATGAAATGACTCTGGGGAAACCTACTCTTATGTTTCTTCCCTTTTTTCTCTTTTGGTCTAAAATGGTATCATGAAAAACTTTCAAATGGTTACCTTGATTTATCTTCAAATGAGGTCTGTCAAGATTTTATGTAATTTGTTCATATTATACTTGCTTGCTCCTGGAATTGCTTTCTCTTTTCTGAATTATTGAAATAATTTATTAGTTTGCTTTGCCCTTGCCCTCACATTTCTTGAAAGTTTGTGTTAAGCTAAGTAATCTCTAGTTTCAGGATCTCTCTTACATTTTCTAAAAATTGAGACAATTTCCCAATTTTAAATTTCTTTTTATTGTACTTTTGGGATGATTTCTAGGAGTGGATGTACCATTATATCTAGGTGATCCTTCAGCTAAATGTTGTAAAAGTGGCATTAGGTAAGATGATTACATTTGAAATTCTGTGAGGATCTGTCTGTTAACCACATCTTGATTCACATGTCACATACTGTTGCAAATAGGATATATGCCCTTTGATAAATGGGTACTAGGAGAAAACCACAGAAAACGTATTAATTCTAAGAACTTGCAGACAGATGAAAATCCCATTTATATTGAATATTTTTTCCCTTCAGAATGACCATTATTCTGTAAATTTCTGTTTTGCAGAACTTAAAATAACCAGTTCATGTAGGTTTGGGTTGCTTGGATTTATTAGTTTAGTTCTTTATTATCTAATAAGATGAGTGTGGTGGGTTTTTTTGTGTAGTTTTATATGATCATGTAGGGAAAGAAGTATGATATGTGAGCTAATTAAGTGAATTTTCTGAGATCTTTCATTTTTTATTTCATTTTTCATTTCTTATTACAAGAAAATCCTTTTGTGAATTATTTTTGTCTTTACTATTAGAAAAAAGAACTTATTTCAAATATAGGTCTTGCTTTGGTTAGTAGTACAATACCCTATGAACTAGGCTGTACAGTCTATATTCTTTCTGCACCAGCCCACTTCCACTTTAGCCAAACCAACTATACTTCAGAATTTCTCTACTAATTTCCTACCATCAAGGTTCCAGTATTTGAGGGTGATAATGGCTTCTCTGTGTTTGTGAGCATGCCATTGCGTAGTATGTGAGGAGTGGGGAAGTACTTCAAAATCAGCAGCCCAGGTAGTTTAGGCGAGCCAGCACTTGGATATTCTCTACTTTGAGCATCATGTACCGCAGTAAGTAGGTCACAATGAATACCAAGGAGGAGATGAGGTGAATTCTAGGGCTCATGCATGCTCATTTGAAAATAGGACTTTCCTAGTAGGTGCATGTGTGACCCTGGCTGGCATCACAGTTGTCTTTACCCAATTGTATCTCTACAAACAGGTCCTAGAGCCTTCTTCCCAAGGCCTTCCCCAGTGCTATCCACTGCTTCCTCACCTATAGTAACCAACTCAAGTTCAGAGAAAACTCTGGGAGAAGATGGGCCAGCTTGATGCTAAAGAGTTTTAATAAACAGCCTATAAAGAAGACCCCACAGAAGAGAAGGGGTCAAGGGAGAAGAAGCAGAAGCCCCAGACTCAGTGGAAGGAAGAGAAAAAGGCAGTTACTGGAACTGCTCCTAATGAGATGTGAGCAGACCCTGGCTTCTGAGCCAAAGGCCAAAGATCTCTTTGCTTACTTGGCAAAGCTTTGTCTCATATACTTGGGCATGTTGCTAGAAAGGGGTATTCCAAGAAGGGACACAAATGCTAGGAAAGTACAAGGGCAACAAAAGAGAGGAAGACCCTTAACGAGATGGATTGACACAGTGACTGCAGCAGTGGGCTCAAATATATCAAAGATGATGAGGATGGTGTAGGATAGGACATAGTTCAGATCTGTTGTTTACAGGATCGCTATGAGTCATACTCCACTTGGTGGCATAACAACAACTCCAATGAAGACACACTTTCTGTAGCACTTTAGGAACACTTTGGTAAAATTAGCTTGGTCCTGGTGGTATTCTGAGTACTGCATCCATGAAGAGTTCACCTAGCTCTTCATGGCTACAAACTCGTTGCTGGCATATTTCAGCAGTTGAACAAGCTAAGGAAGAATGCCCTTCCCAGTGTCATTTTTGGAGACAATAGCAGCAGTCCATTTCTGGAGTATGGGTCCTCAAACACCAAGAGTTTGCCTTCTCACAGAGACCAAATTAGCAAGTAGACTGCAAGTCATACACACAGCAGACTGGATCCTGGCCCTGAAGTGATTCAAATGCTAGTTCAAGAGTACTTTTCCTAGGAGGGGGCAAAGCCTTCTACCAGGGCAAGCTCTCCAAGCTTGTTACTTGTTGTCGCCTAGCTGCCTATGCCGGACCTTCAGGGAAAATAGAGGTCATTTAAGGAAATGGGAACATTCCCAAATAAGTAAATAAAGTGATGAAGGCCAGGGATAAGACTAAGGTGCATCTGAACCAAACCATAGTGTTTTCATTTGCTTTGTATGCATTTGAAAATTGGACAGTGAATAGGAAAACCAAGAAAGAATCAATGCCTTTGAACTATGGTATTGACAAAAAATATTGATTTTCTGTGAACTTCCAAAAGACCAAACAAATATATCTTGGAGGAATTTCAGTTATGTTGCTCCTTAATCTGTTCTTGAGGTTACTATAAGTCATAGTCACTTCAAAGACACTTAACAGTAATAACAATAATAGTAAAAGTAAGCATGCAGATTTTCCTTTTTAGTGAAAAATTTACATTCTTCACTTTTTCCAGTGCTTAGAACACACACACACACACACACACATACATATATATCTATATCTATATATATATA